GGTAAATTTATAGCTGGACACGTTTCTTTCTACATACCTCATTGATGTTATAGAAATCTACAAACGAAAATGGCTACCACTTGAGACAACGCCTCCACAGGCGTGAATAGGCTAATGCACACGATTTTTTAACACACACACGAAAAAAATCATTCAAAGATAGCGCCCTCCACAGGCATGAAAAAAATTATGCACGCGTTTTTGTGCACACACACAAAATTTCCATTCGACCTCACACACATCATTTTTTAAAAACACACATGTCGTTTTTAAACACACGCCATTTTTAAAACACAAACGTCATTTTTTAAACACACATTATTTTTAAATACACATGTCATTTTTAAACACACACGTCATTTTAATTCACACATCATTTTTAATACACACATAATTTTTAAAACACGCACGTCTTTTTTAAACACACGCTATTTAAAATACACACATCATTTTTAATGCACATACACTTAATTCACATACCATTAAAAAGCACCGTCACGCCGTTTTTAAAATGCATACATCATTTTAAAACACACACGCCACGGCCTCCAATACGTACGTAATTTTGAATTATTAGCATGTTTTATTCTTGTATACACAAAATAATAAATTTACATTCCGCGCCTCGCACACTGGACCACACAGCCAAGACAGTGAAATGAGGAAGTTACCAATTAAGATTGTATCATATGCGTATACTTACCATTGCAAATAGTTTCGAATGATATCCTATTAGAAATAAATACTCAAAGTAAATGTGATCGTCTTAAAACAGCTGAATTCGACAAAATGCCATGTTGGAAGTTTATTTTTATGTGGACGTCGCCATGTTGGCACTCGACATCTCGCGGGAAGTGAAAGCAGGATTTTGAACGAGTGTGAACGGTAATCAAAACACCTCTGGTTCTCTAAAACCAAACAATTGACATCCAAGCAAAGAATAATCAGTGTTTGGTATCTTTTTTTGAAGTGATAATATTCTTTGTAAAAAAATATCGATTCCACGGACTTTGACCTCAGATCACTTGCGGGATTTGATGCATTCTGGGACGTACTGATGTGTCGTCTAACTTGTTTTGGTGGCAGCTGTTCTTTGGCCTATATTAAGTAGATTATAATTTTAAATATGAAAAAAAAGTTGTACGATCAAGTTTTAAGCTGGCATGGACCTATGTTAGGCCTGTTTATTGAAGAAGAACAGGGGGCGTTTCCAAGAGATGCTCCAGCAACAACAGAAGATAGGACTAGCTACCAAGTCCCAGATAGCAGACAGGCACATGGACAGCTACAATCACAGTCAAAGTCATGGTATGAGATTATATTACCCCTTACAGTTATTACAAATCTTGTCTAATTTGCATAGTATTTGATGTGACAAAGGTAATATCTTATCATTGAAATAATAATAATAATAACTTTATTACACTACTATGCACAGTCACTTGGGGGCTGAAAATCAATAAATACTAATTTTCAACAAAAAATCATCGCTATACGTATATAAATAAACAAGTTGTGAAACACGGCACCTAGTAAATC